ACACACACACACACACACACACACACACACACACACACACACACACAGGCATTCAGAATCAGAAATGATTTACCTATGAATGAGGCTTTCAGTGTGGACAGCAGAAATATGAAACATTAAAATGACATTTGCACCTTCTCAGCTACCTATTTTGGATTAAATACCTCAACTGACGTGATTTTGTATCTTTTGTTTCTGTGTGAAAAAGATTCCTTGAAGGGAAAGGAAAGGAGAAGCCATGGACACGTGTTTTCTCATGACGGTTCAATGATGTTTAATCAGTCTACTGATTGATGTCTGCATACAGTTTGGCTACATCCTGCTTTTGATGGGACCAGCTGTGTTTATTGTGGCAAACTGGGAGCTCTGCCACCAGCAGCACTCTGAAAAGCCCAACCAGATGCAGCGCTGATTAGCAGGTTTTACTATATTTGACTGGTCTGTTGAGTTACACCAGGCTTACTTTTGTTTCAGACTGGTATAATCCAAAAATAAAGACTAATCTAAACCTAAAGTTTCCGCTACAACTCCCAGTACTCACAGTCAGTCTGGCAGGCTCCAGACCCGTCATTGGGGCAGAACCGGGTCTCCATCTTCTTCTTGCCCAGCTGGAGCTGCTGAGGGTCGGGGAGCAGCGCCCGGCAGGTGTACCTGAATCTCTGCTCTTGTCTGGACCCATCTTGGCTGACGTTGACCGGCATCCAGGGGGTCCAGGGGGTGTTGCGGCGCACCTCAGGGCAGGCCTCCAGGTTACAGGCCTTATACTCCTGGAGAACAGGAAGGAGGACGATGAAACAGCTACTTCTGTCTATTCTTCTGCAGGTTTTCTTCATCTCCCGAAGGATCCTAAAGATTCAGTAATCCATTATGAACAGCTTGCAGAGACACACTGCTGCTGAACAACACAAATATTGCCGTTCTTTCTGGAGGGACTTTATTACGCGGCTAATTACTGCGTTTAATGGGACTCCTGGTGTTTGTGAAGAGGCAAAGCTTACGGCGGCACGGAGGGCTGCACAACGCTGCAATAAATGCATTGTGGCTTGAACACCTTTAGCCTAATTTCTTTAGTAAGCAAGTACTACAGTACCATGGAACATCCAGGACAGCTGTTGCCATTCTCACAGGTCCTGGTCCTGGAGTGGACCCCACCTCCACATTCAGCACTGCAGTGAGCCCAGGGGGCCCAGGCTGTCCACGCCACTGGCAGGGGACAGGGCTTCTTCTCATTGCACAGCCTGGAAACACAGTGACACCGGGCTCATTTCCATCCAAAGCCATGATATTCTGACTCTGTCGTGTTTGTATCGTAGGCGATTTCTACCTCCAGGTGCAGAAAACTGATGCAAACACGTTCCTTCTCACCTCTCCTCTCGACCCTGGCCGACGCAGATTCGACCACCGTGGCGAGGCGAGGGGTTGTTGCAGGACCGCTGCCTCACTTCAAATCCGATACCACAACTGCTGCTGCACTGGCCCCACGAAGACCAGGGAGTCCAGCCGCCATTCCTGAGGAACAGAATCGGGAATCCATTTGTTTTATCATTTTATTTTATTCATCCAATTTATTAAGCCGTCAGCAGATTAGAGTAACTGGTCTGTGAAGTCGTGAAGATCTGCATCAAGAGGCTGCACCTGGAACAGTTTGCCACCTGGATGAGTGGGCCTTTACACTCGACCCCGCCACACCGGGCCAGAGGGCCGTCGCACGAGCGGGACCGACACACGCAGCTGCTGATGGAGCCCTCGCCGTCATTGTGGTTACAGGGCTGCCACGGCACCCACGAACCAAAACCGCCATCCTGTGTCAGGTTCCTCACCTCCAGAGACGATTTAAGGGGATTAATGTCCACGTCATATGCACATGAATAAGTCACATTCGCACCAAAACTACAGCTTGATGCTACCATAATATTATCACTAAATATGCAGCTGTGTGATAAACAAATGATGATTAATTAAATGGGAAATAGATTCTAAGAACTTCTCCTGAACTCTTGATAGAAAGCTGATGATGTATTTACAGTAAAGACCAACACAGCAGGCTAACTGTGTTTGTGTTTCTTACTGGGCACTCAGTGATGTTTTGGGTCCACTGGTTCATGTTGGAGCTCTCCTCGATGGTGGTGCAGCGCTTCTGTTTGTGATCCCAGCCACAGTAAGGGTCCCGAGCTTCCATGCACTGACTGATATGAATGCAGACAACTAGTCATTATTGCAGTTGCAGAACAGAACGGTCTTGTAGACTTTCTCTATATTAAAGGACTTTTATTGTGTTTCAAACAGAGCATGCTGGAAGGAGTGATACTGAGGCTTCATACAACATTCTGTAAGGTTGTCACTAAATTCATGACATGGCCACCTATGTAATGTCTTGCAAAAATATGGACTGACAGTTCAGTAGTTTCTCAGCAGGGAAAATGAACTGGGCTCTTAACATAATCATCTGTGTCAGCGTTTAATGCGGGCCTTTCAGACTTGGCCACCAGCATGTGTTTGTCTCTTTAACGGCACAAAGTTCATTAATCTTTTTAAGTATGTTCAAGTTGAGTTGGTAAATTTGCCAGCAGCAGCAGCAGTGAACCTTTAAACTGAGCCGGCTCCCAGATGTAATAAAATGTACATTCGCTTTATACTTTAAATATTCATATTGATTGAATCTGTGTTGTTATAATCCTTAGTCACTCGTTTCCTTTTATTCTGATCAACTATAAAACAAAACTAGGGTCTGTCAATCGGCTTCTGATTATCTGAAATCCGAGTGGAAAATCTCTCTAGAAGCTGAAATCGTATGTGATGCTGCAGTTTTGAGGGTCTACTGGATCGTACCTTTCAGATGGATAGCTGGAGCAGCGCTCCAATGGGATCTTCACCAGTTTGTCATCGAGTCCCACAATCAAAGATCTGTCATTGTGAAGGATTTGCAGGCTCTTAATTGGTCCAATTTGCCCTTGAGGGAGGAGCCTGAGCTCCTCCATGTAGCAGCCTTGAAGGTTTTTATTGGTTGTGGAGAGAGCCTTCAGGATGGTGCCATATTCTGATTGGACAAGATTAACAAGGAGGAACGTTCTTCGATCAAATGATCTATTCTTCAACTAATTTTAATAATCATTTTAAATCAGTAATACAATTGTCTTTCTTTAATTTTGCCCCAGTTGTCTACCGCCTCTCTCACCAGTGCCGATGTACATGACGTGGAAGAGGGTGTCTCGGCCCTGAACGATGTCCACCACCAGCTTGGAGAAGCGCAGGTTGTCCTGGGTGAGCAGAGGGTCGACGGTGACGGGCTGGACCACATCGTTCATGAGGAAGAGTCGCTGGGCGTCCTGGAGGCTGCGCTCTGTCAGGTTCCCACCGGGGCCTCCCTCCTCCAGGGTGCCACACTGAGGGATGAGAGTCACGCGTTAAGAACGTCGGCTGGTGGTTTTAAAACCTGGGAGCACAAGCTAGAAACACTGCAGCGTAACTGAGATCGTAAATGGATATATACGAAATAGCTCAATATCAGAAGGCCATTACTGACAGCGTAAGTATATGTTAAATACATAAAAAAAAAAAAACTATTGCATTTGAAATGCAGAGATTACAGAAACTGAAATGTCACTGCAATGTCCCTGCAGCCCAATTTTGGCAGCATTTCGTATATGAGATGGGAAAAATGCCGAGCACTTATTGTTGTAGGTACATTTGATGGAGCTGCGCTAGAATTTTCTGTGTGCTACGCTGCAAGAAGCTATCACTGTACTCGGCACACCAAGATGAAATGAAATGTCAGTCTTGGAGGGAAGGCTGAGGAAATAATGGAAGGGCAAGACTTTCACATCTACCATCATCAAGTTGTCAGAGGAGAACAGCTATCTGGATCCAGTTTCTCTAAATGTGTGAATTACCTGAAAATTGGGTATGGGGTTGGGTGTGGAGAGCCAGGCAGTGCGGGGGTTGTCCTGGTAGCGAAAGGGTCCGTTGAAGGCCTGGGTGATGGAGCTCAGATTGAAGGCACAGACAGCAGACGCTGATATGCTGTTCCTGAAGGAGGAAGAGGAAGTGATCACAGGCAGATCTCAGTGAGAAGAAAAGCAAGATTAAGAGAAAGAGAATGGCTTACAATCATAGTTATCAACAAGGTAAGATAAAGATAAAATACATGTTAACGGGTAGTATGAGTGTGGTATTATTACACTGGGCTTAGAGAGTTCCCATGATGTTTTCAAGGATGCTGCACCTTTTAAACAGTTACACTGGCTGTTAGTATCTTCAGTAAAATCATATAAGCATAAGCCTTCAAACATCTGTATCAGTTAAACTCTAGTATATAGAAGAGGAGTGTTTAGTCGTGTTATTAATGAACGCTACTCACACATTCGTGGTGAAGATGCCATAGATCAGGTCCTGCTCTGGTAAGTAAAAGGTGCTCTGCAGCTCGTTGTAGTAAAAGGGGATTTCTCCCGAGCGTGAGCAGTTGAGTCGAGCCTTCATGAAGGTGGTCCAGGTGTCCTCCAAAAGGAAACGTCCGCCCATGTCGTTCTTACAAACCCGGGCCACGCGAGAGAACACTATCTTGCCGCAGTCGTTTTCAACCGCGGTTTCCCTCAAGAAGAAGTAGGCGAATCGTCCAATCTCATAAACAGACACGAAGTGAGGCTCTAAAAGACAGACGAGGGGAGGAAAAGGAAAGACGTGGGAGATATGACACCCATGAACAGAGACACGGGTCGATAGGAGATGAAAGCAGGACAATTCTTTACCATTGAGCCACTTGGAGTTGTACTGGGCGGTGCGCAGTGGCGGGATGTTCCCCAGGCTCCTGTAGATGACGGGGTCCCGTCCTGAGAAGTCGATCACCGTAGCGGCGTACAGCTCGCCTCTCTCTGTTACCATGGCGGTGGAGTTGTGGCGCGGGTCATAGGGACACCGGGCGACGCCGTTCACCGTGTCCAACACCTGACTGAAGTTACCAATCTGACAGGAAGTTAAACAGGTGTAAACACAACTGAATTCACAACCAACGAACTGCAGTGTGGGTTGAAAAAGGATTATTTCTAACAAATAATTACATTAATTTACTACATTTCTGTGGTGGTGGGGTAGAGTACAAAAATGAATTTGCAGAGGCTTCAAATTTTCGTGAGATACTGTGGAAATTGAGCTGTGAGTAGTATTTTTATTTTTTACTAATTTAGATGGCTCAGACCTGATCATCACGTCTCCTGATGATGAACGGTTGTACCAACCTGCCTGGTTACACAGACTGGGGTGAAAGCATTGGTCCCACACGTAAAGAGCGTCCTCCCACTTATCAACAGCACCCGGATGTAGTTTTGACACTCCTCCTGCAGACCAACACAGCACAACTCAGTTCCGATGGTCGTCAACAAAACGTGATTTCAGACGACATTTTGAAAAGAGTCATCACAGACTTCTGTCTCATATGACACAACACACTACCTCAGTCTTCCCTTTGCTCTGACAAGAGCGCTTTGTGTCGTCATCGGGCGCCCATTCTGTCGCCTGCGGTGACAAAACAACAAATATTTCGGTTTGTTGACAACCGAATGATCGTTAACTGCAACTCAGCACAGGCAGGAGTTCAGGAACACTTCATGCAACATGTAATATGGAAATATGGAAACAGTTAAACATTTTGAGAAATACGTTTATTGGCTTTGTTGCTGTCTTTAACGTACGCTCTTGGCTAACGTTACCTGTATGAGCGAGGCGTTGCTCAAACTCAGCCTGAAGAGGAAGTTTCTGTAAAAAGAATGCAAATGATCAAACCTAATCATCTCCATTGTATATTGGCAACATATGTTGACCGGATGCTGTTTGAGGTTTGGTCCGCTTTAAGCTGTTTGTCACCTCGCTCCCACAATGAGGTGGTGTTTGCTCAGGTCCAGTGCCAGCTGGGAGAAATCCTTCACTCCTGGATGGGAGAACTCTGACATCCACGGCCTCAACGCTGGACAGAAGAAGAAGAAGAAGAAGAGGAGGAGACATGAAAGAGGGGGAAAAGCAGTGCAGAGCCATAACATGAAGTGCGTGGGAACCCTTTCTCCACCAAATGCTACCTGGCTCACGGCTCCGGCTTCAGCTTAAGCCCTCAGTGTTTTCACTGATGTGCCACATTTCTCTCCAGTGACTCACCTGATCCTGCAGTCTGACAGCTCTGAAATCGCCCATGAGCCTTTTCAACCACACAGCCCAAGGCTTCGACTTTACAGACAAAGGATTTGATTTCAAAAATTGGTGCAGAATATAATCAGAGTCAGGAGGTCTGGTGGCCAAAATGTATCACAGCCAGACACTTGAAAACATCTGAGAAACAATCCCAAAACACAACAATTTATGGGTAAATAGAGACAGATATTGATTTGCTTAATGAGCCCTTTGTTGTAAAAAAAAGATTTTCTTGCGGTCGTCACAACCATCACAATATATTAACAGGAATATCAATAAAAGCAAACACAAGTCCTTAGTTTGACTTTTATTGTGGTAGATTTTATATCAATCCATTCTCTGTACTTTTATTTGCCCGGCTTTGTTTATGTATTTACCTTGCAAAGCACGTTGTGACTTTGCTTAGGAAAGGTTCTGCATCAATAAAGCATATTATTATAACATATTAAATTAAATGGACATGATTTAAAACCTCTGCCCAGGCAGGATGACAGCTAACCTAAAACTGAACAATAAAACAAGCTACTGGATGTTTTTCATAAACCACATAAAGTGCAACAAACTCAGAAGGTTTCAGAGCAAATCACTGGCGTCCAAATGAATGCTGGTTCCTTCCATTCGACGGCCCGGCTCGTGGGACAAATGTATCCAAAAGAATAACAGCACGGTTTGAACACTTTGAGCTGAATGGAAGCTGACATCCTGTCAAAAATAATATCATCAAAAGGCCCTTTCACAGTTGTTAGACAGCTGAAGAGGAACATTTAATGAGGCCACACCGTAAACATTCATATGAACATATGAACTTCATACAAACCTTCATGCACAAGATAAACACAACTAACTGAGAGCACCCACCTTGGTAGGAGACGACAGGATGCTCCTTTCTGCTGCAGTCTGCCGGTGTGACGTGAGGTTGCTGGGACAGACACACAGACAAACAGAGGACCAGCACGAGGCCGCAGGGGGAGAGGGCCCACACCCCCCACCCTGACGTAAACATGGTCACAACCACATCCAGTCTTCTATCTGGTCCTCAGGAAACACCTGGTGGAAGGAGGAGGAGGAGGAGACGTCTGTCGATTTAAGCATGAAACAGTACTTTTCATTTCTGCACACCCATCCTCCGTCTCTGTCCGCTTGTCCATCAATCCAAATTAGTTTTGCCAGTCCACCCCCCCCCCCCCTCTGCCTGTCTGCTCTGGGTGTCCAGCCCCTCGGTGTCAGCGGGACTCGGTCACGGCTAATTCACCTCAAAAGGCCAGAGCCGCCAATCTCTCTAATGCCGACTCTCAGACCATGGGGGTGCCATCGACGGGGATCTCTCTGACTGAGGAGACCCATTCAAAGACGAGACTGGGCCCAGAGGCCAAACGGGGGGGGG